TTGATTGTCCAGATTATCTTCTTGCCGCAGGACATGTCCTAAGACACTGGCCAACTTAAGGCTAGCAGTTCTCGGGCAGTTGCCCAGGCTGGTTGAATGAGCATAGTACAAATGGGCTACCAAGGGGTGTTTTTTCAGTAGGAGCTGTGAGCCAAAGAATCTTTCCTAGAAAGAGCTGTGGTATGGCCGGTATCTGATCCACATGACAAACATATGGATGGAGGAATGGGTAGATGGATGGACAGATAGGAATATTGTGCCCTTAGAGAAGTAGGGCATGATTGATTAGGAGGGAAAGATTTAATGTAGGTTTCACAACTGAGCAAAAAAACCAAAACAAAACAAAAACCCTCTGCATTTTTTCATTGCAATATTTGAATGAGATATGATCCACATTCTTAGGAGCCAAGAAATGAAAAAAAAATCCTAGCTGACTAGCTCTTAAAGCTAAGTCATTTTTGGAGAAAGATGAATCTCCCCCAAATTCCTTCATACCCTTCTGGCCTGGTCTTCTCTAGCCTTTGCCTATTAGACTTTCCCAAATTTCAACTCCCAAATATGGCAATCACGCAAATACTTAGAATGTTACCTAATTTGTAATAAGCCCTGAAAAAATGAGCTATTAGTAGTATACTGTTCATTGAACACATCATTTGGCTCCATGTAACAGAATCCTAAACATACAGGCTTAACCAAACGAGTGAAACAGTCCTACTATATCCCTGAATGAATAAATTAAAAATCCCTGCCCTCACTTAATAACAAGTTTGGAGACAGATAGCCCAGGGCTGGGATGGCAAACCTCAATGCCATCAAGGGTCCAGTCTCCTCCTGTCTTTCTGTTCAGTCATCCTCAACATGTGGTTTTTGTCTCAGTGAGCAAACAATCCGCATCCTTCTTGTTCCTAGCAACCCTAATCACTCCAGGGAGAAAGGAGGAAAGGACAATGCCCGTACCAGGAAAGTTTCCCCAAAATGCCCCAACAGTCTCCTGCTTATATCTCATTATCAAAAACTACCTCACTGCTAATCTGGGGCTGCAAGGGAAGCTGGGCACACTGCTACTATAGACAAAATCAGGGATTCTATTGACCAGGAAGAGGAAAATGGATATAGGGTAGAAAATTAGCAGTGTCTCAGACTTAACTATCCCAAACACTGAGTACCCCATAGTGCCAGCCCTCAAAACCTGGTGGGGTAAAGGGAAACCAACAATTGAACAGCATGATAAAGAACATGAAAGAGGTGTTTATCATGTGGGCACATAAGGACATCTAATTTGTATTTGAAAAGTCAGGAAAGGCTTGCTGAAGAAGTAATAGCTGAGATGTGAAGGATGGGTAGGAGTTGGCCAGGGAAGAGACTGCATGTGCTGAAGTTCCGAGGTAATGCTGGGTCTTTTAGGAAACAGAACTAGTTTCCTAGTGGGGAGCAGAGTACTTTGTAGAGAGTGATGAGGTTGGCGGTAAGCAGGAGCCAGAGCACAAAGGACTTCAAACATCATTTTAAGAACTCGGTACTTATCCTTGGGGAGAAGCCAGCAGGAGTCAAATTTTGCCTGCTAGTTTTTACAATTAGAGTGGAAAAGCCACTCCATCTGCAGCAACTAAGTGTCAGTGGATTTGCTATCCTTTCTTAATGCATCAGGAGATCCACAAACTCACCTCAGCTAAGTCCTCTTCCCTCTTATAGGGATTACCCTCAGCAGGCCACTGCATTCAGAACCTGGGAGCTATCTTCGCTTAAACCTCACTAACATTGCATTTCTTCCCCCCAAAATAATTCCGTGGGGACAAATTAGGCTTCTCCTAGTAATGCTGCCCTCATCAGAAGAATCACTTTTTTTTTTTTTAAGATTTTATTTATTTATTGGATAGAGAGAGATCACAAGTAGGCAGAGAGGCAGGCAGAGAGAGAGGAGGAAGCAGGCTCCCTGCTGAGCAGAGAGCCTGATGCGGGGCTCCATCCCAGCACCCTGGGATCATGACCTGAGCTGAAGGCAGAGGCTTTAACCCACTGAGCCACCCAGGTGCCCCAGAAGAATCACTTTTTGACTACTTTCTTTATTCTTCAACATTCATGCTCAACTATGTAAGAAGTAGTTTTTTGGTGTTTTTTTTTAAGGAACAATCAAGGCTTAACTTTTAGGCTAAGTATACAGAGATATCATGAGTAACCTAAGTAATCTCTAACATTTGATTAGTTCACATAACTCCAGGCAGAATATTCATTTTTCTTGGTTTGCAGTGAGACCACATGTTGGACTAATCCTCCAGTTTACAAGTTATCCCTGGATGATCTTAAATAGGTAGCATGGCACAGAAGAGACTACCATACGGCACTGGGTACAATATTGCACCATTTCCTAAACTGGTATCTTTGAAGCACGACTTAGAAAAAGAGAATGACCAGAGCGCCTTGCTGACTCAGTTGGTAGACCATGTGGCTCTTGATCTTGGGGTTTTGAGCCCCACGTTGGGTATACCGACTACTTTAAAAAAAAGAGAGAGAGAGAGAGAGAATGACTTACTAGGACACTTCCTTTTTATTACTGCATTTATTTTGTATATTTGTCTCTGTTTAGGGTTTTTCAAAGGTGAGGGCATTATAATATTCTCTAATCAGCTGAAATTAGTCATTTGCCACCCACTCTCCAGTCCCCATTCCAGATTCTCTTTTTGGAGTGTAGCTTTATTACCTTTTAGCATACTATATGCTTTACTTCTTTACGACTGTCTCTCTTCACCACATATAAGTTCTTCAAGAGTAGATTTTTTTTTTTTTATGTTTTGTTTAGTGATGTATTAGTATTGGGTAACAGTGCCTAGAATATGGGAGACACTCAAACGCTTGTTAAAAATCAGTATTTCTTCTATGGCTATCTTCTGCCCTGCCAAGGAAGAGCCAAACTCACCTGTGAACTTTTGTATTCTTCTTCTTCTCCCTCTCCCTGACTGTCCTTCAAGCCAACAAAATCAACAATTATTGTTAAGGCAGCAAGTATATGCAAGACACTTTCCAGAATCAACTTTCAATAGTATGCCCTCCCCTTCTCTTCATATGTGAGGATTTAAATGCTATTGATCACAAACTAAATATATTAATATTCATTATACTAAAAGTCATTGATTGCCACAATCGCACCTTTTTCATGTTACATTGGGATGATTCAGGCATCCTACTACCATAATTGGATTAGCTAGATAGTATTTTAGCAGACCTGAAATTGTGGAAAAGCTATTACAAATCCTTTCCAACGACTGTTTTTCAATTTCCTCCTGTTCATCAGGAAGATTTTTATTTATTTAGTCTTTTTTTTTTTATTGAGTCCTTTCAACTGAAAGGACACATGCAAGAAAAAAAATATCAACTTTCTGTCAGGCACCATTCACTTTAAGTCCTATAGAAAATCTTTTTTACTGCTCACCCTAAGAGATTTTTCCTTTTTTAAGAAGACTAAATTATAATCTCCACAGAAGTAGGTTTTATGTACCAATATCCCCAACAACTAAGACAGTACTTGACCACAGTAAGTGCTCAGAAGATCTGTTGAAAGAACGGTGTACATTTTATACTTTTATTGCTCACTTCTAAATGCATAATCTGGTGAGGGTTCACATACTGAAACATAGGCCAACCTATGACCCAGTTGGTCAATCTAACTGTGCCAGAGCCAGGTGGCTTGTTTAAATCATCATGGTAGGCAGAATCCTAAAATGTCCCACTGTAATCCCTTAGACTGTGACTAGGAGACATTTTATCTCTGATGTTACCTTACCTGGCAAAAGGGATTTGCAGATGTAATTAAGGCTATCATCATTTGACTTTGAGTTCATCAAAAGGAAGACTGTCATGGTAGGCCTAATCTGATCACACAGATTGTTTGAAAGCAGAATTTGTCTGGTTTATAGCAGAAAAGGAAGTCAGATACCAAGCATGAGAAGAATCCAATACACTGTTGCTAGCTAGAAGGAGGGGGCCATGCGCCAAGAAATGTGAGTAGCTTCTAATTTAGAGTGGCCTCTGATTAACAGCAAGGGAATGGGCACATCAGTCCTACAACCACAAGGATCTGAATTCTGCCAACAAACTGAATAAGCCAAGAAGCACATTTTTTCTATTGAGGCGCCAGACAAGAGCCCAGCCTCGCTGACCTGATTTCAGCTTATGAGACCCCAAACAGAGAACCCAGTCTTGGACTTCTGACCTACAGAACTGTAAAACAATAAATGTGTGATTTTAAGCTGCTCAACTGTGGTAATCTGTTAAGAAGCAATAGAAAACTAATATGATCATCCTGTACTAGAAAGTACTTTCTCTGCAATGACAGAATTCTGCAATATGTTTTTTACTGACTCATTTGAATACTATCATCAAGCCCTCCTCTGCCTTTCCCAAATTTATTTTACTGTTTTCTTTTTCACTGTCCATGGAAACATTGTCCAGGAAAATTCCACCCAAAATTGGTTTTTGCATATGAAAATAAGATAAATTAAGGTACCAAGAGAAAGTTTCTTTGGACAGTATTCAGCTTATATTATTACCCTCCTACTTATTAGGATCAATAAACCCCACAAAGATAAATAAAAGGATAAAATCATCAGTGACCCAAAAAGGTCCACGTTCCTACCAATAAATCTGTAAAAATCAGTAAGATGTGATACAAATCAAATCAGATACTGAAACTATATTCGAATTTTGTTATAAGAACTTATTATCTCAACTTGGAAAACAATCAAATAAATATGTACACTGAGTCAGAAAATTATTTTAATAGTTACAAAACATCTTTTTTTTTTACAGAATCAGTATAAAATAGCAGTTGATTTCTCCATAATTATCAGAATTATTTGTACTTAAGGTCTTGGCTAAGTGGGGCTGAAATCAACAAAAGGTCTTGGACTGTTGGCTCAGAAATCATCCTAGGAAGCCCACCTTGTTGATGTCTGTCATGCTTAGCTCTTATGAGATGTCCCGGTCCTTTTTTTTTTTTTTTTTTTAAGTATCTTTTTATTCATTCTTTGGAGGCTTGAAGTGAATTCGACAGCGTTCATTAAACACCTAAGGTATTTGAACAGAAATAAATGTTGTTGAGTCATCTTATATAAATCGAGCCTGGAACTAAACTAAATTTAGCATGGATCAGGAGGATATAATCATTTTTATCCCAAGTCAACAGATTTAGGGAACAGAGATTTTTCCTCAGGAGTTCAAACTGACTTATAGGCACTAAGAATAAAGAAGACTTTGATATCCATTTATAAGACAATTTTGATTTTTCTAATAAGATTTATATTATTCAAGGAAAAAATCATCACAAGCTAGCTTATTTAGTAATAGGAACTAACAAACATTTTCATTATATAGTCTGGAGAGTTAGACAAAAATATCTAAAATGGTTTAAGATAAAGCTTTTTTCCCTCTTTTTATAATGTGGATTTTATTTAGATACCTGTTGTGATTTTCTAAATGATTACTGGATCCTTTTCACAAGTAGGTATAGTTGAAGAGAGATCAGGTCTTTGCTAAACTGTGTAAATTTATAAAATGTTTTGTGCTATATATCTTGCTTCCTAAAAATCTAAACAAATAACACATTATAAATGTTAAAAGAACATTCTATTATTCAGTGTCTGTCAGTATGGGACTGTGTTAAATAAATATTTTGATATAGCCCTTCAATGGAATATAATGTAAACATAAAAGAATAAGGAAGCTCTGCATGTTCTGATTTGGAAAGTTCTCCAAGATATATTAAAGAAAAAAAAAAAGTGTGGATAGTATACTTTCACAGATGTGATAAATGGGAAACACACATACATAAAATCAGAAAAGGTGCAAATATCTAAAAAAGCATGTACCATCATTTTAGAAGTAAGGGGAAGGAGGTAGCTGAAAGGGAGGAGTAAGAAGTAGAATTTTTACATTTTAATATTAAAAAAAATTTTAATCATTCCTAAAAAATTTTAAGTGTTCAAAATAAAAATCTGAAAGTATTTCTTCTTAGAATTTACCCTCATACTTCACTGACATAAGGAACAAACCATTTTTAAGGTTAAAAAACAAAACACAAAAAACAACCTATATTGGCCACTGTGAACTATCATAAGAAAATAAAAGAAAAATCTACACAGGGAGCTTAATATTCCTTAAATTCGATATGTTGCATACTCTTTGATATGTGCTATCTCATAATTAAAAGAAAAAAGTGTAGAAATTATACAAGACTCTTTCTGGCCCTTCTATCTTATAGCTCATCTCTTGTCAGTTCCTAGCCCTGATATCTCCCTTAAGTTCCCAATGCTCAAATTGGGGAAGGCTTCAGATTAGTGGCCTTGGAACCCTGGGTGGCATGATACATATGACTTGGCCGAACTTCTCCAAATCCTTTTCCTAAACGGCTTCCTAACCACTTTTGCTGACCTACTGTACCACAGTCACATTTTCTTTTTATAATATCAGGTAGGAAACCTGAGTTTTTGTAGACTGGATGAAGCATATTTTCTTTAAAACTAGATCAAATCTAAAAATGCTTCCCTTGGGGTGCCTGGGTGGCTGAGTCAGTTAAGCGGCCAACTCTTAATTTCAGCTCAGGTCCTTAGTTCAGGGCTGTGAGTTCAAGCCCCACTTTGGGCTCCACACTAGTCACAGAGCCTCCTTAAAAATATTTTTTAAAAATAATAATAATAATAAAATAAAAATGCTTCCCTTGTCCCACTACATTTGACATGTGTCAACCTCTCCATTGGGCTTTTTTCTTTTTTTTTTTTTTAAAGATTTATTTATTTATTTATTTGACAGGCAGAGATCACAAGTAGGCAGAGAGGCAGGCAGAGAGAGAGGAGGGAAGCAGGCTCCCTGCTAAGTAGGGAGCCCGATGCGGAGCTCGATTCCCAGGACACTGAGATCATGACCTGAGCTGAAGGCAGAGGCGTAACCCACTGAGCCACCCAGGCGCCCTCCACTGGGCTTTTCAAACCAGATATTCATTGTACTCCTCCCCTATCCCATCCCATGAGTAAATATTCTCTCTCTGGAGAACATAAATGAACAAGTAACACCAGAATCTTTCAAGTAGCAAACACCTCCTCACAATGGTAGAAAGGGCAGGAACAGGAAACACTGGCAAAGTGGACAGAATAAAGAAAAGTGATAAGGCAAAGAAAATCAATTTGTACCTTGCAATTTATTCATAGCTCTGCAAGTTGAGTCATTCTAGTTTGTGTTCAATTAACCTCTCTCTGTGTTTAACCTCATTCCATTGGTCAATTTCAAAGGATGAAACAGAATTTTCTGTTCATTCCTTCAGATTTAATAGATTATTTCCCTTCAGAAATCTCTTAACTTTTAGAGAAGGGTATAAAAATACACCATTTCATACAACTAAAGTCAGCATTTTATGATTTTTAACTACAGGTAAAGTCCTGGAATCCTGGTCCCCCAATCTCATTCCTATTCAGAACTATGCAGGTGGTAATAAGGAACATGTGAACCTGGGAGCCATAAGAAGCCCTATTGTCAGATATGAGAAAAGTTATATGCAAACAAGTCTCATGATCAATGTTAGAAAGCAAGCAACTGCAAAGGGTAGCTAATGATATGAAAATTTATGCAAAGTAATAGGGCTCAAAAAGTTTAATTTTAACAAGTAACACAACTGAAGGTTCTAAGTTAACTAGTAATAACCCTAATAACAAATAAGCCCATAATTAGTATTAAGAAACATACAGAATGTCTCCAGTTCTGTTACCATGACAGGTCATACAATCTACCATATGACTGTAAAGCTGGTTTTTATAAACTGGCTCTCTTCGGATGCCAAGTGCGCTCCTTCTCAAAGTTAAAGCCTTCAGTTACTTATAAATGAAACGTGTCTTTTCTTAAGAGGCCCAAGGCACTCCTTACTCCCCCTCCCTTGGTTTCCCTTTGCTAATTCACTTTCCTTCATAGTTCTCTCCAAGAACCGGCATTATTTTATACCTTCCAGCTCCTGTCATTTACAACTTCTTCAACATTCAGTTCTGACTGCATCCATTTCAACTGTAAAAAGGAAAAGAAAAAAGTCAGAGTAAGGAAAATTCAAATTAAAGAACTAAAACCAAATTCTATTTATAGTTTCCTAATAAAAGAACTCCTGCCGCTACACTCTTTGTTAATGGTATCACCTGGGCTGGATCTTGGATATAGCCCATTCTCCCCATATCTAATCAGCTGTTAAACCTTCTGAAGCCATGGTTCTCAAGCATATTATAATCACCTTGAAGGGTCATTAAAAAGAAATCAGATGTCCAGGAAGTTCACAAAAAGAATACAAATGGCCAATAAACGTTTTTTAAAATGTACAATCTTACTCGTATATAAAGAAACACAAATTAAGCCACAATATGACAAAAATTTTAAAAAATGAGTACATCTGATAAAACCTACTACCAGTGAGGGTATGGAAAAAGATACACATACACATTTTTAGCATGGAAGGCAATTTGGTAAGATTTATAAAAACATAAATTCACATGTCCTTGAACTCAATAATTTCAGTTGTAGTTACTGATTCTATAATAGCGATTTGCAAAGACAGCACAGAGGAATAAAAAGAAGGAGGTGGCAATCTAATTTGGATGAAGAAAAAAAGAATCAGGAAGAAAAACAGAGAAGAGAAGGGGAGAACATAAGGCCTAAAAGATCTAGAAAGGCATGAGCTTTCCACACCTTGAGCATACAGGCAGAGGTCTGAGACTAAAGATGCTAAAGTCTTTCTAACTTTCTTGATAACTGCCAACCTAATTACACCACCAGAAAAGTAGCCAATTCCACTGCCAGGCCCAGATGGCAGGGCCCATCATACTCATAGTCTCTTCTAGTCACAAAAACTTAAAAGAAGCTAGCTAGTTCCAGGAAGGAGGCTTGAAAATATTCAGGAAAATAAGGAGGAAAAAAGCATGAGCTATAGGTCAAAGCAGCCAAGAGATTAAAACTAGGATGATCTCCTTAGGCTCAACTCTCAGGCCAGGAGACTTGGGAACAAAATGCCAGAGAAATAGATAAGATCTAGGCAACCATGAGTTAGGCACCCAGACCAAAGGACCTGACAAGTCAGGAGCAGAGCCCAGGGGATGTTTAAGCAATGAGCATATAACACTAATTAGACAGGAACTTGGTATTGTTCCAGTGGCTCTTTGTAAACACCCTTGCTAGACTCAAAAGCAGTGCCGGGGTATAGACAGGCATAAAAGACTCAAACGAGAATGAGAGGAAGAACTGCATTTCTGACAACCAGTATCATGCTATAAAATATTAACACACCTGAAGAAGCCCCCCTGCTTATATCAAAGCAACTGCAGTTTCAGACTGTGATCAGCTACATGCACCAGAAATCAGTAAAGTTTCACTGCTTTCTGTCAAAGCCCGAACTGAATGCAAAAAAAAAAAAAAAAAAAAAAAAAAATTAACAAGCTCAGTCAAAAAACAGGGTCATGAGACGCCTGGGTGGCATAGTTGGTTAAGCCTCCTCTGACTCTTGGTTTTGGCTCAGGTCATGAAGTAAGGGGTGTGAGATCGAGCTCCACATCAGGCTCTGCACTCAGCGCAGAGTCTGCTTGGGATTCTCTCTCCCTCTCTCTCCCTGCCCCTCCTACTCATGCTCTTTCTCTCAAATAAATAACAAAATAAATCTTAAAAAAAAAAAAAAAGTTTACAACATGCCACTAGGGCAGTCTTCATAACTGCTCTCAAATATTTAAAGGGAGGTCATGCAGAAATGGGTTTCAACTTATCCTATATACCCGCAGAGGGCAGATTAAGGAGCAGTAATCACATGTTACAGGGAGGCAGATTTTCACAATACATACGAAAATCTCTGAATAATTACAACCATCCAAAAAGAGAATACACTGCTACAGAAGATTCCAGTATTCCTCCTCCCCTGCCCCCTTAAGTAGTAGCTAAACAAAAGGTAGAAACCACTGGTTGGGAGATACTGTAAGGAGGATTAATGTAACAAACATGGATCCCAGAGACTAAAAAAGGAAAGGAAAGCAACTACTAAGTATATCAGGGATATGCGAGCTCTTACACACATTATATAATTTAATCCTAAACCCTAAAAATGAAAGTGTAAAAGTCTCGATTCCATTTTACAAACTAAAAATCCAATTACTTCAGGGCAATTAATTAATAAGCGTACAAAGCCACCACGTGGTGGATGGGATTTATTTCCTTTGAGCTAGCTATCTGCCTTTATAACCCATGTTTTCTCTATTCTTGAATGCTGCAGATATTACAACCAACATCTAATGCAATTTCAGTGCTACTGACAAAATGTTACCTCTGAGATGATTGTTTTTGAGGCTCTAGGTCTTAAACTGGTAAACCTCCTTTCAAAGGCCACTAATAGGTGACAACAGTAACAGAGTTTCAGCAAGGAATGTTATTTTTTCTGCATTAAGAACTCAGGGAAAGAACTGGGACTTTTAGACTGGTGTTTCTGCACATAAATATGTTCACTTAAGAATCAGAATTTGACTATCAGTAACAATTTAATGTACAAACACTGAATCCAGAGTCAGAAGAGATGGGTTAAAGTCCCAGCTCTATCACTTCAGGTATGTCAGTATCTCTGAGTCTCAGTTTCCCCATTCAGAAAAGGAAGAGGTAGAGCTGGATCATCTCTAAGAGTTCTCTTTCTGATTCCTTAAGCTTCATGACAAACTTGAAAATTTAAAAAAATAATTCAACTTCCTTACTTGGCTAAGTACTATTCATAGTCATCCTCCAGTTCTATAAAGTATCAGTCTAGAAAGCTACCTTTTATAACTTGCTAACTGATTTTTAAAATTACTCCTTGCAATGGTCATCCTGGTGATTCTCTCTGGGCACTAAAGGTTAAAGGGCAGAAATGACGGTGGACCAAATTATTTGATATGTCACTCCCAAGTACTCAATGGTTTCTGAACTTTGCTCTCCACTAATAAGAGTCATTCTAGTCTTTGTTGGACTTAACATGCAAATAGTGAGTTTTCCGTTTCAGATATAATATGCCTGCCCTGCTGTTTCCTTTGTCAATACCTTCAAAAGTCTGTTAAAATACAAAATCCAAAATAACTAGATTTTATCCCGCTTTATATAAATTATCTATAAGACTTCATAAACACTGAGTAAGATGACCATTACAGCGTAAGTTCACATGAGGAACCCTCCACTGACTGGTGAATGGAATACAGGACTGAAGCAGACATCATGAACAAAGAACAGTGAAGACTGGGGATGAATCCCACACCCAGCAAGACATGCTGTATCAGTCGGACGACTGAGCAAGCGCGCATACTCACTGGTGGGCAGTTACAAGAATAAAGGCTTAAGAGAGAAGATAAGGTCCCCTTTTCAAAGTTTGGCTACATTACTAAACAAGGGGCAGACTTCATGACTGTTTAGTAATGATAAATACTGGATTTTCAATCACGTGAAAGGTGACTACATGCAAGGATCAGTAAGTCACCTATTGTGCCATTTAAAACACAGACATCATTTTGATAATTGCTCAGTGGTCATGTAGAAAAAAAGCCCCTCTTCTTAGGTAATGACAAACATATGTAAGGGGCAAAGGAACATGTATCCAACATTCTTGCCAAACGGTTCAGGAAAAAAAATGCCTACCTGTAGTAGGAAGTGGCGGAAAACAGGGAAAGGACAGAAAAAGGAGGGAGAAGGAGGGGTAGAGAGAATATACTGCAAAGCAGGGGGGGGGCAAAATGTAAACAATGGGTGAATATAGGTAAAGGGTACATGTGAGTTCCTTGTACTATTCCTGCAACTTTTCTGTAAGTTTGAAATTATACCAAAATAAAAAGTTACTCTTTAAGCACCACCCCCAAAAGGAAGACAGCAATGCATTCCACTTAATAAAATATGGTACGCATCTCAACTGTTTTGATATGTCACCATTAGGAGCTATAAACAAACCGTTCTTTTCCATTTATCATACTCTAAGGTCTGTCTACACCCTATCTACATTAGCTGACTTTGGGAAAATACGGCTTCCTCTGACACATCACTCAGTGGACACCTGTTTTCTTAAAAGCAAAAACTGCACGGATGGGAGATGAAGTGGAAACAAAAAAGTGTCCAAAAAGGGCCAACAACCCACAGCAACTTCTCTGCAGTAGGGAAATAAATTATAATGAGGTTCTAGTGTATCTGGTTATATTCGAATAGTACTGTATTTTTATGGCTGAAGAGGGTACTATTCTGAAATATCTGTATTGCATTTCAGCAAATTCCTACACATGAAACCTCAAAACTATCTCAAAATGTAAATATATTTTTAAAAGTTTATTCTCAAGTCAAGCCTTTAAACATTGATACAGATGTATTTCCCTAGATTTTCTGATGTAGTGTTGGGTCAATACTAATCCTTTTATCTTTAACAGTATAACATATAAAGAAATGGAAAGAAAATATGACTACATGCTTCTTTAAGCTAAAGCTACTACACTGCATATATGCATGAAATGCACATTAACTTACCAACTAATATCTAAATGTAATAAAATAGAGCCCACTAAAAATAAAGTATTACTCTCCCGGTCACTTTTGAAAAAAAAGTAATGACCATTTCTTACTCTAAAATTTTCATTTTAAAAACCGCCTTTATAGAATCTTAAAAAAAACCTGACTTCATTAAATTTGGAAATCTTTGGTTCAGAAATATAAATCTTGTTCAACTTACCTTTGTCTGTTCTTTTCTAAGTTGCTTTAATAACGTTAAATCATCCAAATTCTTTTCTCTCTCTTCTCGGAGCTGTTTTACTACTGATGAGGTCTGAGCTATACAATTTTTTATGACTCTGTCCCTGCTGGCATGAGCCTCCCTCAACTAAAAGAACAAAGGAACAAAAGAGAAAAATCACACCAATTTTTTACATTTTAGTTTTTTTTAAAAAATCCTATTTTTAGGTTACAGAAATGTAATACTTTCTAAGCAATTTTTAAAAATTCAATCTTTGGAAGCGAAGATTTTGCTGAACCAGCTAAACACCTAAAAACAGATCAAAGGAAGCACCTCTCCTGGTGGAAAGTATGTGGTTATGTTGCCTTCTTCCTCAATATGCTTCCGGGACTTATCACTCCCCAAAGGGCTTTTCATGTCAGTCCTTTCTCCCTATATTTCATGTCAGTCCTTTCTCCCTACATTTCTCTCCCCAGTTATCCAACCCTGTGTTGTGTTGTTCTACCCTCCATCCACCCCCACACACTTCCAGGGCCATTACTGCTATTCTTCCTCTCTTTTTTTGTCCCTTCGTGGTTTTTTTCAGCCCCACATTGTCACTAGGTTTAAGAAATTATACAGTAAGTGATGTAGAGAAGCAATTCACTACAATGAAGAAAAACAAAGAATGCTACATTTACCTATGCAAGACAGAGCCCTTTCCAAGATTTCAAAGTTCAAGTATTAATATGGAAAAATTGTGTACGAGTGACAGACTACTGGTTCCGTGAAAGGACATCTGGCAGGGCAAGTCTTTACTAAACTTTCATCTTTATATAACAAATCCAATACAACAATTTGCATCTATTTTCTTCCTTGATTCACAAAATATGATGGCCATGACTCAAATACATTCCCATGATCATAACCAAATTCTGATGACAACACCCCAATAATCTGTAGGGGCGGAGGAATAAAAAACTACTAAAATATATGTAACGGCCATTATAACTAATGGAGCATTAAAAAAGGTGATTCACCACCAACTAAAATTTAGGTATTAACTTGCTCCAAGTAATCATGTTAAATCATTCCTCCTTCCCTCTTAAGAGAGAGTATCTTAATGCTACCCTAGTGACAGTTATACTAGGGATAACCTAACCATTATGCATATATTTATACAAAATTTAGGACTAAACCATTCTATAAGCATTCTTCATAAGTTAGCTGAAACACATCTCTTAAATGATCATCTCAGGACCCTGAAGGTAAGAATTACTGGTCTAATATGCACCAGGAAAAAAAACACCTTTGCATTTCTAGAGTGCAATACTACTAAAAGTGCATTGGTTATAAACCATACTTATGTGAAGAGAAGGAAATTAAAACAATAGACATTAGCCCCACTTACAGTACATTTCTCTAATATGCTAATTTTTTTCATCATAATAGTTAGGATTCACAAGGACAGCCCAAGGCCTGTATTTCATTGGCTAATATGCTGCTTCTGTTACTTGTTTCCTCCTTCAGGTATAATTCCAGAAAATGGAAGGAGCCACTGAGGGTAGGAAACTTCCCTAAATAGAGTAAAAACCATCATTACAGTTAAGAGCTCTCCCTGTGTGAGACTGGCTAAATAATTAGTATTTCCAGGCTTCAGCTTCCTCTTTTGCAAAACTATGGATTATGAGTAAATCATCGCTAACATCTTTTCTACCCCTAAAATTTAAGGGTAATTCAACTCAATGCACTGCTCACATGACTGATATTTTGTCCAAACCCCCAACAATTGGTGAAGTCACATTAACACCAACTAGGAGTCTGTCACAGTATTTTCATTTTTTTATCTGCATTTTAAAATCAAATTCAAATTGTGTACATTTTGTTAGAATGTTCAAGGTTTTCCTTCTAGTCTTTCTCACCACAGAGCTTCCTCCCTTAGCTGGGCTTTCATCCACTGTTCCCCTCTTTAACTTGGCCCCTTTCCTGTGGATACACTTCTAGCTAAAGACCACCCTCCTACCCTCGCCTGCATAGTTTTCCTTCAGATTAGCTCCACTGTGAACCCAGAAGTTACTGATCAAATCATCTTTTACTCAGTATTATCAATTATTTTAGTCTAGCGGTCATGACCATCCTTCAACAAAATTCAGAATTAAGAGCCATTGGCAAGAGGATTATGCATGGACTTTTGTGCACATATGTCAAAGAAATGAGGACGCTTGATAACTAGTAATAAGACTGTGTGACATAAACCTACCAGAGAAAAACAGCACAAAATCAGACTTACTAGCTCATCAGTAATTCAGATGTTTCAGAAGTTGGGTCACAGGAGAATTGTTTCTGTTATACAAAGTGCTTGTCAAAGGAATGAAGATAAAATTTATCAAGAAACTTGGTAAGGTAAAAGGCAAGGCCTTTGGTTAGAGGAGAAAATTCCTGAATGATAACCATTATCATAACCAAACTTCCTTTGATTTGGGGTAAGCAATCTGAAATGAAGGCATTTGGGATGGGGCAGGAAAATGATTCAAAACTAGTCTAACAGGGGTCTATCTAGGACTTCCCAGTTTTATTTTACTTTACCAAAATGCTAAGAACTTCTTTTAGTCAAATTTTCACCTATTTTATCTTTTAACCACTATTTTAAAACAATGCCTTTTGCCTTTAAGGGAAACAATGCCTAGAGTTTTTCTGACTGTAGTTTTTTTGGTGCTTTTCTTTCCAGAACAAAGGTTGATTCTAAATTAACTCTGCACTAAATTCTAATTTCCCAAACATCATTTGTTTTAGAACCCTGACAATGATCCTTGGTTTAACTATCATTAAAAACAAAATAAAAGGGGCGACTGGGTGGCTTAGTGGGTTAAAGCCTCTGCCTTCGGCTCAGGTCATGATCCCAGGGTCCTGGGATCTAGCTCCACATCGGGCTCTCTGCTCAGCGGGGAGCCTGCTTCCCCCTCTCTCTCTGCCTGCCTCTCTGCCTACATGTGATCTCTGTCAAATAAATAAATAAAATCTTTAAAAAAAAATAAAAACTACTAAGTTTTGGTCATGGCACTTTGTTTTAAATCTTCCTCTAGAACTTCTGACAAAAAGATGCAAGAGGAAACATACCATTTAAACATAGTTCCAAAAATTCATTATATTAAAGAGATACCTTTAAGAATTACCCTAAATCAATCACTGTGACACCAATAATAGTTTTGCATTTGTAAAGCACTGTTCCAAGTTCATAGACTTTTTAAGGCTCAGTACTGAATTTTATATTTAACTTGAGAATAAACAATAAACAATGTACAACTAGGAAAACTTCATAGATTCAAGGGAATATGCTCTATTAGGGGTGTCTCACTAAAATTATTTTTATTAAGAGTATACTTTTAAGATGTGGAATTTCTACAATTAGTGCTTCATAATAACTTTGCTGATCATCTGCTATGAAGAAGTATTATCATTAGAAAGTACAAATATTCCTTCCTTAGCTATGGAAGGAAGGGTTGGGGCTAAAGAAAGTCAAGGTAACCTTAAGTAACCTGGACATTTCACAGAGTTCAAACTCTTAACTGCAACAATATTTAAGGGAACTCAGTGAGACTTCTTAGCATGGGCATTCTGCTACAGGCTCGATCACAGGCACAAAACTACTAGACAAACAATCCTTTCTCTGATGGTCATGTCACTGGAGGCCTTTAGGGTTCAGACAGAGCAAAATCCAAACACATACATAATATCCAAGACAGAAAGATCCTAAATATCCAAAACAAAAGGTTCTAGTGTGCAAGATTATCCTCATCCAACAAAGCGAAAAGAAATAACAACAACAGTAACAGAAGCAGCAAACATTTATATGTAAGACATTTAGTACAGTAAGCACTTCACATTACCTCAGTTAGGCCTCTAACAACCCTATGAACTAGGGACTATTATGATATTATTTTACAAATAAGGAAGCTGAGGCAAAAAGTTTTGTAACATGTTTAAGGTTACCAGCTAGGAAGTAGCAGAGCTAGGATTTAATCTAGATGCAGAATCCATGTTGTTAATCTCTACACTACAAAATTTTCAAGTTAATAAAAAGATTGTAAATGGAAACAACTGAATAGATTATAGAGATTATATAGTTAGCGAGATCATAAATTTCCTGTTCTTCAGACAGAGCTACCCAAAGAAACTAAGTGAAATGTCAAAACAATCTCAAAATAAACCAGGGTTTGGACTCTGGCTCCCTACTTCCAATACTGGATTCTACTCATTAAAGCCTACAACCCTGGAATTTTCAAGCCACAAGAATTACCTGACTACTCAATGAAGTAACATACTTTCACATAAAAGCAGAATAAAAATATCAGCAATTATTAACGCTTTGAATTTAACTGATATGAATAAGCTTATCCAAAACTTTTTTTTCATAACCGACAAATTAAAAATGTACGTTTATATAATATCTTCTTTACAAGAATCCAAATAGTAATCTTGTGCTAAAGAAGCAAATGCCATTTGAACATTAGCTTCCGAGTTAACTAAAAGATGTACGTAAATTACAAAAAAAAAAAAAAAACAAAAAAAAAACTTAGCTACATTACTATTTCCTTCTGCTTTTGGAAATTATAAAGAGACATAAAGGGGATCTTTAAGAGGCACTGAAAAAATATGTACTTGAGAAACCAAAGCCTCAGGAAAGGACAATTTATCTGTGGCTTCTCTCCCAACTGCTAAGTGCTTCTATTCCCCTTCCTGATGATTGAGGGAAGAAAAAAGATATGGAAAATGTGAAACCTTTTAATTCCTCATTGTATCAGGTGTCTGGGTTCCTAGGATTGATTCACTCGAAGCCCTTGCTCTTGTTTCACTGTTTTACTTGACTATTTCACTCTCTCCTTCATTGCCTGGTGCATAAGATTTCCTTAAGTTAAAGGCCACCCTGGATGGAGCCAAAACAACTACTGCTCTCATTCCTTAGAATGGTCTCTTCACAGACTTGTGCATAAGATCACATATTTTCTTTAAGTTTGTAGCAACCAGATCAAAATTTATACACACCCCTAGATGCAGGCAAGAAAACATGAAGATGTCATACTTTTATCCAGTTTAACTGTATGTCAGTTGGTTTATGATTTTGCCTGCAAAGAAAGGCATAAAGGAAGCACAAAAGACTCAAAAGATACACTTACAGACTCATAAAGTTGTTTACAGGTTTGGCTTGCATCAATTTTCCCTGCAAAGGAAGCTGTTGGAACCGTAGTGTTTAATTCATGTACTATTCTGTCATCAATCGTCCTCATCACCTTGAGTAATTCCTATATATGTTTAAAATAAAAGAATAATAACCTGAATGGAAAGTTAAGTGATTAAAAAAAGAAACATGTAAACAAAAAAAATTATAAAGCTCTTGGATATTTTACAACTTTCTAAGTTAGGAATACAGAAACCATGCTAAATTTAGTGCAACCATAGGAAAATCTTTATTACAAGAATAGGTACGTTATGTAATAGTAATTCTAAGAATGGGCACCAACACTGTTTCCTCAGCTCAAATGTGACCATCTCAAGGGTCAAGAATGTTTTATTCACTTTTAAACCCCACCTGCTAACACAGTGCTTCCCAAACTGTGTGTGCTCTTTCCATTCCCAGCACACAGAAAATAAAGGGTTCTACTGAACTCAATTACCTCAAATTGTCCCAGACAATCCAGCATAATTGCTTGCTTTGTCTATTGTTCTTTGTCTATTGTTCTAAAATGTGGTGGTAGATAGAAAAATTCTGTAAAGATATACAAGAAAACTCAGTTGTGGTTCACTTGTAGAAATTAACCTATAACCTTTTAGACTTTTTGTTTTTCTTAATTTTTTACTATGATTGTGCATTATTTTTGTAACAAAAATAAGTAAAACAAAGCATACTGCTTGAGAATGAATCAAATCTCTTCATGGCTTTCTTGTTCTTAGAACAAACAGCAATTAGTTTTACCTTTTCTTAATGACCCTACTCAGATTTCCCAAGGATCTGCCACTCCTGAAAAGGCTCCAATTCTCAAAAAACCAACCAAAAGAAAAATAATACCAAAAGGGCAGAGGACTTGGAAAGACTCTGGTAAGTATACCTACATAGGCTAGCCCCTTTGCTCTCTACATTTTGATTAGGGTACTTCTTTTCACTCGTCACTAGAGAAAGGCTGGGCATCAGCTACACTGTCTCCAGAAAACACAAATTCTACAACCAGTTTCTACGAGTATACCATTTTCTTTTCTTTTTGTTTCTTAAATTCTCCTCTCTGCCTCCGAGCCCAGCAAAACATAATGACTGAAAAATCTTAAGGAAAACTGAAGTATATAATGCTAGGAATATATCTATTAAAAAGCCCCAACAAGTTAACAGTCAATATTGAAGTGTATTAAAAGCCACTTTGCTTGAACCTCTGCCTCGCCTCCTTCAACATACCAAACCATTTCTTTCCTTTGCCAAACTGAAATCCATGACTGAAACCAACTTCTTCATTTCTTTCTTCATCCGTTTGTTAAAATAAACCCTTTTATTATGATTAAACTATTACACAGTCATTTTAGGAAAATTAGAAAACTTACAAATAAAAATCATCCACAGTTAACCACTATTAATATTATAAGATGTACCTTTAGTTTTTTCTGTACATATCTATCTTTTTATAAACTTGAGGTCCTTTGTAACACTCTAAAGTCCTGCTTAATGACATTATGCCATTAGCATTTTGCCTTTCTTACTAAAAGTGCCGTGAAGACATTTTTAACAGTTGCATGAACATCCTGTGGAGGTGTCACAACCTGTAAGACCACTTCCCCAATAATGAATACTTAAGTGTTTCCAATTATAATAACTATTTAAGCCAGCCAGTCTAAATCTGCAGTTTAGATTCTGTTCCTATTGGTCTATTAATCTTTAATTAGTAATTTAATGGCCTTTTTTAGATCTCAATCTAGAAGTTAAACAGCTTATAGAAGGCTCATAATTTAGACTAACAAACATATGCAAATGTCAGGTCTAAAACCAATTTCACTATCTTACCCCCTCTTCCTGTATCCTTCTATTTTTGTCAATAGTAGTATTATTCTCTATAAATTGGAATTCTTAAGGGCTAATCTCAACATACTCCTTAAGAAACCACATTAATTGTATTTTGTACAGTGGAGGATATGTGTCTGAGTGGCAAATTCCAAACAAACAGTGGCAGCACCACCATTTGGTGTCAAAAACCAGGTAAGTAGCGGTATTAGCAGACAGGGACCTTCCTTGAAACTTCAGCACCTACAACCTGACTATTCAAAAAGCAGCAGCAGCAGCAGCAGAAGCTGCTGCACCACCTCTTTTAAAAATCTCTTTTCCCCTATCTAAATAGAAATGATCTTCTGAGACTGAGGCTTAAGTTACACTTTCCAGATAAAGCTTTCCTTGGCTGAGTCCTCGCAATCTTTCTTTAAACATATGCAGCAGTTAGAACATAGCACAATTCGTGTACTAACTCACACTTCATTCAAAAAACATTTGGTACTGTCTAGTATGTGTCAGGCACCCTTCTAAACACCAGGGCCACAGTGGTGACTAAAACAGAAAAGGTCCTTACTCTCTGGGAACAAAATTCTCATATGGGGAGACAGACAACAAGCAAGTACCTCAATAAACAAGATAGTTTTAGTACTGAATAATACTATGAAAAAGAAAACAAACTGAGGTAATGGGATAAAGAATGACAGTGGGGCTGAGAGGCCAGCACTTAAGACAAGGAGATCAAGAAAGGCCTGAGGATGCAGCATCTGAGCCGAGAACTGAATGAGAGGAATGAGCCAACTTAGAAGAACACCTGGGGAAATAAGTCACAATGAGGCAAGAACAAACTGGAGTCTATGAAGAACTAAAACAAGGCAAGTGGACTGGGAGTGAATCTGGGAGAAAGTGGTGTTAGGTGAGGTCAGAAAGACCAGAAAATGAGGAACAACAGACACCAGGAAAACAATTAAGGATTCTGTTCTAAAGGAAACGGGGTTTTAGGCAAGGGAATGCTGTTAACAAGATTAATTCTTTAAAAAGATAACTTCGCCTCTATGTGGAGAATGGACTATAGAGAGGAGAATGGAAATATGGTGACTATATTACTATGGTGCTCTAGGCAAGAGATAAAGATAGTTTGGGAGGTAGCAGTAGAGTTAGGGAGAGGAAGCTGGATTCTGGATGTATTTTGAAAATAAGAGTAGATAGGACTTGCTGATGAACTGGTGGTGGGGAATGAGAAAAGAAAACAAGATGACTGTTAGGTATGAGGCCTGAGCAACTGAATGGACGGTAGTGCCATTAACATCTGTTGGGGAGAGACTGGAGGAGGAAAAGATTTGTAAGGAAAGAGAAGATCAAGGTTGTCATGATGCACAGGATATTTGATGATACTTACGATTACTGTTAATTGTATGTGATACTGGTATTGTGTTCAAAATTACAATCTTTTAGAGATACAGACTAAAACTATTTACAGAAAAAAGATAAGATATCTGGGGTGTGCTGCAAAATAATCTGGATAGAATGGGGTGAGTGGCAGAATATAAATGAAAACAACTGTGGCCATGAATTGATTGTTGAAGCTAAGGGTTGGGTACATAGCAATTCATGGCAGGAACTCTCCTTTTGGACAGGACTGAAATTTTGCACACAAAAAAGTTTTTGTTTCTCTTTTTAAAGGTTCAGTTCTGGACATGTTAAGTTTGAGATGCTTATTAAATATCTGGTTGACAAGTTGAAGAGAAAGTTGAAAATACCGGTGTGACACTGAACCAGGTTAGAGTTACATTAACACACTGATATTATTAAAAGCCACGTGATGAGAAGAGATCACTGAGGGAGACTGTAGGGACTGGGAGGGGGGTATCAAGAAAGAACTCTAGCAATTAAAGTACAGGAGAAAAACTGTGATATCGAACAAGTCAGAAGAAAGGCTGCAAGGAGGGAATGGTCACTTGTGTTGAATATTACTAGGAAGTCAAAGAATAATGAGAACAAGAATTAACTTTCAGATTTAGCAGCACGGAAACCTGGGTGATCGTAATAAGAGTCATCTGAATAGAATGTTTAATGGACTGAAAGTTAATGTGGCTTATGTACAGACAGTAAGAGGAAACAGGGTATAAAATGAAGCCCACCATTACAGTCACATTATAGGATTTTAATCTTTTTTCTGAGAGAATGGAGAACCAAATAAATGTTTAAGTATGGTGGGGTTACATGATCAAGTTGGTACTCTGAAATGATTGCTTAGGTTAAAGTATTAAAATACAGAAAATGAATAAGAGTAAACGCAAAAGGACCAGTTAGGAGATGAATACAGCAATCCAGGTAAAAGATTATAAAGCTTGACATTCCATGGGATTTTTATTTACTCAGAACTTTAACCAGTTTTGAGTCTGAACACTGGCTATATAGCCAAATTCCTCTACGTTAAAACAATGTGGACATAACTGTTATGTTACTTTAACATAACAGTTTAAGATAAATTTAAGATAAATTATGAACTTATCTGCATTAAACTAGGTAATTTCACAGTCATACCAATGGAACCTACAACTGTGGATTTTCAAATATACCAATTCTCAGTGTTCTAGAGAATCATCAATATATGATCTAGAGATTGACTTTTAATATGACAGACACTAGCTATGAGGTTATTTTAATTAAAATTAAATAAATTAAAATTTAGTTCCTCAGTTGCACTTGCCACATTTCAAGTGCTCAAGAGCCATATATTGCTGGTGGATGGCACAAATTTCCACCACCACAGTTCTAGTGGACAGTGCAGAATTCAAGAAAATAGAATGACAATTTCTGAACTGATAATGCACGTGTCCAGGGATTGCTGAAAACTATAAGCTATTCTTAAATGTCTCAGAGAAGATAAAATAAATATAAAGGGGAAAATAAAGATAAAGGGGAAAAGGGGGGAGGTAAGATTCAGAAAGGAATTTCTTTCAAAACCACTAAGGGAAAAGGAAAAGAACTATAAACCACTTCACTAGGTACACATTTTTTAACAGTGTAAAAAGTGCCAGAGCTCTTAAGGCAGCTGCAGAAGGGTCTAAAGAAAAGCTTGAGTGGCCCTCACAGACTGAGAGCGAATGAAAGTTAACGCTGACACCACAATGCCGCCATTAAATCACGTGTTATTATTCATAAGGAATTACTGACTACCTATCTGATGCCTGGCTCCAATGGCACCCACCCCTCCCTTTCTCTCACAAATTCACTAAGAAAATATACAGAAAAAACCCCTGAGTAGACACCATACACAGTAAACCAGGTTCTGATAAATCATGAATCTCTAATTTTAGGCTGGCCCTTAAAAATTATTCAGACACTTATCTTAGAATTGCATTTTATGTCTTATCTGTCATTGTGGGGTGAAAATCTCACCCACGAGAAGCCAATTTTGGTATCAAAGGAATGTCCATATTTAGTAGGGAGGGATACAGAAAACTTTCTATTGCCCCTATAATTATACTACAGCACTACCCCTAGGGTTAATCCTCCGGAAAATACCTTTTGTTATTTGGGGCAGCTTTTAGGGTATACAGGGAGTGGTAAAAGGTCTATTACATGACAGTAAAATAAAAATGTACTTCAAAGAATGCCCCAAATACATAAAATACATAAAATTTTCTGCCTACATACTACTATTCCTTCTACCTAGAATTCCCCTGGTCCTGCCCACCTAAGGCCCAACTTAATTGCCACCTCTAGATTTATTTCTCCCTGACCTGTTAGAGCACTTTATTCACATTCTCAGTATCTTCTGCATGTTTTGCATCCTTGCTTGCATTACATTCCTTATTTTATATTCTGTCCGCTCCGTCTTCCCAAGTGCCTGGTACCTAACAGTATCTATTATGAACAGACATGTGTCCTCCCACATACCAGATTCATATATTGAAGCCCTAACCCCCAAAATGATTGTGTTTGGAGATAGGGCCTATAGGAAGGTAATTAAGGTTAAATGAGGTCATAAGGGTGGAGCCCTAATCCTACAGAACTGGTGTCCTTATAAGAGGAAGAGACACCAGCCAACTCTCTCTCTCTCTGTGCACAGAGGCCATATGAGAACACAGCAATGAGGCTGCAATATGCAAGCCAGGAAGAGACGGTGAACCAGAAACCAACTCTGAAAGGACTTTGATCTTGGACTTTGAGCCTCTGGAACGGAAGTGTGAAAAAACGAATTTGTTGTTTAAACCACCCAGTTTGTGGAATTTCTTATGGCAGCCCTAGCAGACTAATATAATATCCAATAAATTCTTGCTAAATGAGTGTTCAAATGGAATCCTAGAAACTCAATTTTAAACAACATTTTATGGATTTTATGTCATTTTAGAAACAGTATGTTTTCCAGGAGTATTAAGTCCAACTTTTATAACAGAAAAATAAAAATTGTAAAAACTTAAAATAACTTAAAAATTCTTAAGCTTTAAAACATGCACATGGAAAGAAATCAGGAAAGTAGTTCTAAGAAGGGAGGAGGAGGGATATATGGACAGGGATTGACTGGGAAAGGGCATGAGAAACTTTTGAGGGTGACGGTATTACTCTCTCTGTTGATGGAGGTATATGCAAATGTCAAAAGAATGGTGTCCATAAGATTAGTGCATTTCACTGCATACAAATTTTATAGAATGAATGTGAACAAATATTGAACTACAGTAAATGATATGAATAGTGACATGTTTAGGAGTAATATGGATGTTTGCAACCTATTTTGAAATGCATCAAAAAAATAAAAAGGCGGGGGCATGGTGGCTCAGTTGGTTAAGTGTTTGTCTTGGGCTTAGGTCGTGATCCTAGGGTCCTAGGATCTAGTCCTGCATCAGGCTCCCTGCTGCATGGAGAGCCTGCTTCTCCCTCTGCCTCTACCTCCCTCATGAATGAAAATAAATCTTAAAAATCTTAAAAATAAAAAAAAATCTTTTAAAATTAATAAAATAAAAAGGCAGGGCGCCTCGGTGGCTCAGTCAGCTAAGCCTCTGCCTATGGTTCAGGTCATGATTCCAGGGTCCAGGGATCGAGCCCCCTATAGGCTCCCTGCTCAGCGGGGAGTCTGCTTCTCCCTCTCCTCCTACCTGCCCTTCATCAGCCCTTCACCCATGATGTCTCTCTCTCTCTCTCTAATAAATAAATAAAATCTTAAAAAAAAAAAGTGTGAATTGATGACTATATTGAGAGAGGGATATGTGGTAACGGTAAATACAGCAAATCACTGATTATAGAATCTAGATGTACAGAGGTGTTCATTGCAAGATTCTTTCAAGTTTTCTATAGCGTTTGAACATCTTCAAAATAAAATTCTAAAATACCTAAATCTTTATAATAAAAATACATGATTTCCTGTTTCTCTTCCACAGTATTCAGTGCACTGCTTTTCACATTTAGGGTACTTACATACAAAATGTAATGGTTTCATAGCTTTAAAAAAATACTAACTTTAGGGCGCCTGGGTGGCTCAGTGGGTTAAAGCCTCTGCCTTCCGCTCAGGTCATGATCTCAGGGTCTCGGGATCGAGCATCATCGGGCTCTCTGCTCAGCAGGGAAGCCTGCTTCCTCTTCTCTTTCTCTGCCTGCCTCTCTGCCTACTTGTGATCTCTCTCTGTCAAATAAATAAATAAAATCTTTAAAAAAATACTAACTTTAATTGATAATCTGTGAGTATGTCAGTTAACCACAGCTTATAATTTTACCCAATTCACCTAAACCTATATGTTATACTAAATTTTTAAGTTTTACAGCACCTTCACTTATGTTCACGTGTGTCTGACATAGTTGGGGCAAATATTCTTATACTTATTTACAATGAGATTAAATGATATGCCAAGGCAGCTCTGGAAAACCAGATCTGACTTTTAACCCATGTTATTCTCCATTATAAACCATGAAACTCACTTTATGATCTTTTTATTTACATTTTTCTGTGAATGGAATGGTTCTACAATCAGAGTTTAGCTTTTCTTCCCCTTATATCTTATGTGACTTCCAAACGAAAAATACAAGTGTTTTTTAAGCACTGCTGGGTATTTTAGCAGAGATCCTTTTTTTAAAAATGTATTTGACAGAGATCACAGAGAGAGAGGAGGAAGCAGGCTCCCCTTGAGCAGGGAGCCCGATGCGGGGCTCGATCCCAGGACCCTGAGATCATGACCTGAGCTGAAGGCAGAGGCTGAACCCACTGAGCCACCCAGGCGCCCCAACAGAGATCCTTTGAAATTTAGTTTTAGAGGGGCATCTGGGTGACTCAGTTGCTTAAGTGTCCATCTTAGATCAGGTCATGATCAAGATTTCGGGTCATGATCTCCGGGGGGTGGGACTGAGCTTCCCCATTGGCCAAAGCTTGTGCTTAGCGCATAGCCTGTTTGTCCCTCTCCCTCTGCTCCTTCCCCCACTTGTGCACAATCTCTCTCTCTCTAATAAATAAATAAAATCTTAAATTCAGTTTTAGAGATTCAAATAATTATAGAGATGGAAGCAGTTTTAAATGTTACACAACAAAATCTTATTTTACAGATTCAAAAATTCCTAAATGTTAAGCAATTAGCTCAAAGTTCCAAAGCTGTTAAAGACAGAAGCAGTACTAGAACCCAGATCATCTAACTCCCTAACTAGTGTTCATTCTAATAAACCTTAAAGCTATCACTGCTCAGTTATCTGAGCTCATTAACTCAAATCAATTCATAGTACTAATGTGAAAAACCAAGGCCACAGACGGGCCTGTGAACCTTAAATATTCCATACACTTTATACTCTAATGGTCTTTTTCCATTTCATTTAAGATTTTTACAAGTATCTGTATTTGTAAGGCACTTTGATCACATGTGAAGGTGGCTGCTGTTGTCCTGATCTAATCTGAGGAGCAGCTGAAGGGTGAAGAGGGTGCAAGTAATGGTGGAAAGACCCCATATAAATTTCTTTGGCCAAACAGTATCTGTCAAATAATTCGGTCTGTTGAGGTTATCTTCAAGAATACCACTCTCTACAAAATGGCTCACATCACAAAACTTCCTACAGATAGATCAGCGTTACTTTAAATTATTTTTCATTATCTTTAATTAAACATACATTTTAAGGTCTTTTTTTTTAAATTCAAGTCTTTATCTAGACAGTAGCACATTTATGCCTACATTGGAACAGAAAACTTTTATAGCAACTTAGAATCTAGACCCTTGTTCTTTAATTTATAGCCTGATCTTAGCCCTAGTCCTCTGGTATTTGAATATAAAAAATAAGCCTTTTCCTTACATGTTACATTTCCTCTAATTGTTAAGAAGGCAGAAGCACTACGGCAGGTACTAAAATTAATCGCCCTTCCAAGGCTCCAAACGTTCTGCCCCACTAAAATAGTAAAACTTTTACCAAGTTCGTTTTGTTTTATCAAGCAAGTAAGTTCTTCACTTTCCTCTCTCCTACCAATGCTCAACTTAAGTAGGAAGGGTACCGAAGAGGCTAGGAACTGGGTTCAGGGGGTGGCTTAAAAGGTGGTTACAATCCCTACCACCTGGCCCAAGCTCGGTTTACCACCTCGGAACGTTACTCAAGGCCTGGGCGCTGCAAAAAGAACCATGACCCCCACGGAGCTGCCTCGCTCTCTACGGCCAAGCCCGCGCCCCCGTGACCTCCAATGGCTGGAAAAAGGAGCCTTGAACTGCCCGCTTCTTCCACAACTGGTCCGCACTCCCTCCCAGGCCACAGCAGGGAATAGAGTACGGGGACAAACGGAGGGACACGCCTGCCACATGAGGAAAACCCCATCACCTGGAACTCGGCGAACTCCTCACAGTTCACACCGCCACTGGGCGCCGCCATATTGGACAAACGCGAGGCCCCCGCCGCGAACCAATCACCACTGAGCAAGGGTGTCCGCGCGGCCGCCTAACAAAATTTATTCCGAAGGCAATCAGCGAGGAACCTAAATAAAGTAAGCTTAAACTAAGGTTTGTCTCTCCCTTGGTCCTTATCTACATCCAAACCTGTAACCCTGCTGTCCTTCCTTTCGCTCCTACCCCTTTAACACGGCCTTCTGGAACCGGCCTAGATGTATCGGAGAGTCTTAGAACTTGAAGGAAAGTTTTACTCCAATCCCATTTTTTTTTTTTTTCTTTTACACAAAGGGAAACGGTTTCTTGGACGCAGCTACCTGGTCCTTCGGGTAGCAAATCTAGAGTAGAAGGGAGATTTTCTTAACCCTCCCACTTCATTATTTACCAAGCCTTTGTTCGTCAAGAACTTGGGACAACTAAAAGTTTTTAGAAAAGACTTTGGGGTAAGAGTTGAATAAGGTGTTCAGGTGTGGAAATAAAATGTTTGGTTTATAAAAATAGGCAAATTAAAGAAATAGGAAAGCATGTGTGAGAATTTCTCAGATAGAATGAGAAATACTCTCAAAGCCAGTAAGACGTGGGGCCGCTCAGTTACTAGGAGCCCGACTGTGTGGTTTTGATAAAACTGATACATATCCATTGAAAATGCTGGAAAAACAGTATTGAAATACTGGTTTTCTAGGCAGTGCGATTCCAGGGTCTACAGTTCACAAAAGCTCTACAGAGAGCACATTTCTTCTATTTTAAAAGGGCGCTTTCTGAGATGCAGGGAATGACTGCAAAGGCCGGGATACCCACATCCCACAAAGGCATTCTTAAAGACTCATCAGGCACTGTGCGGGGCTGAACCGGGCTCACCGCCCGCATAGTTCGCGCGTCACGCACGTCCCACACGCTCCGCGCCACGCAGGCCCCGCCCACACGCCCCGCCCACACGCCCCTCCGCGTCACGCCCGACCCGCTCGGTCCGCCCTCAAGTAGCCCAAGTCCTGCCCGCCTGCTCCCGCCGCCTCTTGCCCGTTGCGGGCGTTTGGTGACATTGAATGCGCCCGCCCTGTCACCGCCCGGGAGGCGCTGTCGGGTCAGCGGAGTAGGCGGCCATGGGGAGCCTGCGCGGCCTGCGCCAGGCAGCGGGTGAGACGCGAGCCGGGCTTGGGGAGGTTGGGAAGCCAGTTTGGCTGCTGGAGATTGAGGAATCCTGCAGCTTCCCCAGGTCTGGTAGTTGGTCGGTTTTACCGCACACTCCGAAGTTGTTCGGAGTGACGGGAGAAAGCAAAGGCTGAGCGAGCAACTGCTAAGCAGGTAGTAGGGGGTGGCCCAGAGTGACCGTCGCGCCGGGCCCTCCATCCACCCACCTCCCACCAACTTAACGAGCCCTTGCTCCCCGATCCTTATCGACCCCCCATCCCCACTGTCCTCTGAGCTCAGTGCTTAATGCACCTGCCATCCCTAGAACTCCCCCGTTTCCTGATTGATTCAGCTTTCCACCCTGATTTCTCCTGTCCGTAGCTCTACTTGAGTCTTGAGTCTCCCCTACCCCCACCATCTCAAGAGCTTCTTATACCTGCTCTCAGAGAAAACTTAGAGTCTAGAATGTCCTACTCAGTATCTGATTAGGAAAGGGATTTAAAGTATTACCGAATAGTACTAATTGTTTTCCTAAAATGGGGGATACATTTCTTTTAAACAATTCGACAGTTAAGTGTTATGTAGAATCTGCAGTTTATTTTTCTAGTAGACATTGGTATAATGAGTATTTGGAGTCCGAGCTTAATTTGTCTTCTTGGGGAACCAGCAGAGCCTTTGCTTAGTAGGGGCTGAGAAATCAGAATGTTTGCCGCTTGGCTCTTTTCTAGGCACCTGGGCGAATCACTTTTGGTCACCTTTATGAACTTTGGTAAGGAGTAATGACTCATCTTCTATTTCTGGGTAACAAATTATTAAAAAGTTGTTTATTTCAAATTTTAAAGGAAGAATCACCCCATACTTGCCTATTGAAATAATGTAAATGTACACTGCAAATGTAAATGAATTATGTAAAGTTGTGTAAAGTTACCTTTTATATCCTTATTTTGTGTTCCAGTGGAGAGTGGACTGGAAAACATGTCTCAAACTGGAGAATATTATTTACTTCCTTTAAACATTTCCTCTGCTAAAAGAGATTGATTTCATTGATTTGTTTAGCTTCTGTTGAACTAATTTACCCTAAAATCTTTTGTGTACATCCTTTTGACCTGTTAGCTATTACAAGGTAAATCAAAGAATCAATGCTTTGTAAAAAAGCTAAAATACATTGAGTGGAAGGGACTTTGACTATAAAGGAACTAAGACCCTATGGTTTTAAGTAGTTTATCTTCCTGCCTTGAAAATATATTTATGCATTATAAAGATTCCAAAGCCTCTCTGCAGACTTTTGATATTTAAGAACCTCACTTTTGGGCACTCAGTCAAAACAAAATCCTTGAGCAATTTAAGAACAATTTATTTTATTCCAGATAGATCCACTAAGAATGTTTTATGAAGAACTCTTTCCAAAGGAACTTCTTTGAATGTCTGATGTTTTGTGAGCAACTCTAAGCAATCTGCCCTTTCACCTACTTGTGTCCGTTTTATAGCTAAATACTTTGACATACATTATTTTACTTGGTTGTTTTCTTATAGTACCCTTCTTAGGTAAGTCTTATCATCCGTTTTCCAATGTACAAGTGAATAAATGTAGGTCAGATGGTTAAATGACTTGTTCATGATCATTTAGCCATAAAATGTTAGAGCCAGGAGATGAGTAAGTGCCTTCTAATTCAGGAACTTGTGTTCTTTATTTCATTCAAGATACTTATTCAGGATATGTGTGTATTGTGTATGTGTTTGTCATGGTTAATTGATTCTCTCTGATATGAAATGGAAGAGTCATGAAATGCAGATGTACTTGTGAAATGCAAGCACATATTTATGTGCAAATGGATTTTCATGTAAGAAGACTGATTTATCAGGCAACCTTAACCAAAGGAAAGGCAGATCAAATAGAAACCTAATCTAGGCATGCTTCACTTATCCAGAATATTATATGGAATAAGATACTCTAGGTGAGTGAAATTTCAAATAGCCAAAGCTTAATCCCTTAAACAATGGACCTTTTTAAAAATTGTTTCTGTTAGTAATCTGTGCTGTATTTTTTTAGCAAACAATACAGGTTTTTATGAGCTTGGATTTGTTTCTCATTTTGCGGCTGTAGCTGGAGATACAGGTCAGAGTTGTTAACTTGTGGTTCTTGGACACTTTCACAGATGAGTGGTCCTGTGAACCTCTGAAAATTGTATTCATTTTTTATGTTTTGGGAAGAGAGGATCCATAGCTTGCATCTATTCCTTAGAGCAGTCTGTGCTTTTAAGTTAAAAGGCACTGATACATGATTTGGACCTAAATGGCTACTGACCCATACTCCTGTGGGTTGCATGAGGGTAGAGACTAAACTGTTTTCACTAAATGCTTAGCACTTAGTGTCCAGCTCACAGACAGGCAGTTATATTCTATGGAATAATTATTATTTTTTTAAAGATTTATTTATGAGAGAGAGAGTGCATGTGCTTAAGCAGGAGAGGTGGGTATAGGGAAAAGCAGACTCTCCACTGAGCTGGAAGGCCCCTGCGGGGCTCATCCTAGGACTCTGGGATCATGACCAGAGCCAAAGGCAGACGCTTAACCGACTGAGCCACACAGGCGCCCCTCTTTGGGATAGTTATTTTTAATTATTTTAAATAATTGATAATTTTTTTAAAAATTAACTTAAAATTATTATTTTTAATAAGTTATTACTTTCTACAGAATAATTATTAAGTCAAAATAATTGAATGGCTTTACAAGAATGTTTCTTCACACCTTCAGAAAAATTTTGTTGTCCTAAACTTTGCTGGATTACCAACAGATTTTTTTTTTAAGATTTTATTTATTTATTTGACCAAGAGAGATATCACAAGTAGGCAGAGAGGCAGGCAAAGAGAGAGAGGAGGAAACAGGCTCCCCACTGAGCAGAGAGCCCGATGCGGGGCTCGATCCCAAGAGCCTGGGATCATGACCTGAGCCGAAGGCAGAGGCTTTAACCCACTGAGCCACTCAGGTGCCCTCCAACAGATTTTTAAATGATTTAGTTATTATCATTATTATACCAATACAGTGGACCATAGACAGCGTCCTTGTCAATTTAACTGACATTCCACAGCATTAGAATCAGGTAACATTTAAGTCTTGTAGTCTAGCCCCCTACTTTTATAGGTGAGGAAACTTAAGGCTTCAGAGGGAAATTAACTTGGCTTCAGAAGAGTCATACAGGTACAAAGCTGGGACATAACCAATATCTCTTGACTCCCATTATGATTTTATTTCACCTGCATTCTACTCCTTCATTGACCTTTCTATTGGTTCTTGCTAACCAACCCTAAATGAGTACATGCCCATTTTTACTGCTCTTTGGCTTTCACTCCCACCAGGTCTTGTCATCAGGTTTTTATTGAACATGCACTATGTGCCCTATACACTATGAAAGCTCTAAAATGAGTGGACTCCCACTCTTACTAGAGCTGGAGTTTGTTGCAGTGAACAAATATACCTGTATAATACATCTGGAGAGCTTATGCATGACAGTATATTAAGTTCTGGATTGCAGAACAGATTTTAAGTGCTGCTCTGGTGCCTTGGAGCCAATTCCTGTTGGCTTTGTGCACATCTTTTCCCAATTAGTCATGTTGTATTGGTAGCTTAAAATCTACTGTGGTGAGGGTTATTGACAAACACTACAAATCAGGGCTTTTCCCACTGAGCTCCTCCTCCCAAGACCCAACATAGCACTGGCTTTAAGAAAGGAATTGAAGTATAGGTTAAAATTACCAAAGGCTTCGTTGAAACAGAAGGCATGGGAGAGAGACAGGAGCAAAGGTAGGGGCAGTAATGAGTCTGGAGAGGATGTGGAAGGAGAAAAGATAGTAAGGAGGAAGGGTTACCTTGGAT